GTGGGTTGGGAAGAGAGAAAAGACATTCTGGGGCAGGATCTGCGCGGATGAAGGCCCCGAGGCAAGAATGAGCTGGCCCCAAAGCAGCCTGGGCGGCGGGCAAGAGCCGCGGGCGGGTGAGCTGGACGGCTGGAGCCAGGAGCGGTGGCGCCGCAGCGGTGAGCTGGGCAGCGACGCGGAGGCCGAGGCTTATTACCGTCATTCCAAGCACACCGGGGTCTGCTCGCAACAACAATATGAGCTATTTGTACAAAAGACCAAAATGGAATCCAAATAACAGGTCCAGCTGCTCCAAAAACCTCCCTCCCCCTGCAGTTAACATTTTACTACCCAACGGAGAAACTAATGAATCTGGCCCAGCATAAATCCCCAGCCACCCATTCCTGCTTGGGCCTGTGTCTAGACATCTAGACCTGAGCGCAGGACGCACTTTGAACATTCGGTGCCTTATCGCTTGCGAGAAATCAGCTTTAATGGGGAGGCCGGGAGGTGTCGCCCCCAGCCCTGTCCCTTTGGCACAGCGGCTGTAGAACGAGGGTCCCTTGGATAAGGACTGGATTAGGAGATGAAAAGGGGGTAGCAGTGTTGGCTTTGTGGCTCTGGTCCTTCAGAAGCACTGACTAGAGGTGTCTCCCTCTCATTGCAGGCTGTGTTTTGTGAAGCTCAAGCTCCTAATGATAGCCATTGAGTACAAGTCCGCCAACCGAGAGAGCCGGTAAGTTTGCTGTGACTCAGTGGCCAGCTGACATTTGTGATGGTGAGAGTGCACCCTGGGAACGTTCGGCCCACTTCTCTGTCTTAGGCTCTGCTTATTTGCCTAGAACCCTGATGCAACACGTCTCAGACACTAGGACACATTTCAGGGCATGTTCACCTAGACGCTGGCGTCTCTATTGCAGACCCACCTGTCATCTGGAGCCCGGCCAGTCACTGAGACTGTTCTTCCAGGGGAAAGGGGCGAGATACTCAGATCTCCCTCCAATTGTGCCAATTTTCACTTCCCACCTCTCAGCACAAAAGCAGGGACAGACACTGTCCTCTTATCCCTTTTTACTGTTGCGAGCACAAAGCAGGTGGACTCGGGCCTCATTGCCAGCAGGCAGGGGGCAGAGCCGTGATGGGAGACCCGAGCTCTCTTGATAGCCAAATTACAAGCAGCCTATTGTGGACCATATGTGCTTCTCCCGGTGCACCCGAAATCCAGGTGGCAGAATAGCCGCTTCATGTAAATTAGCCAGGAGATCAGGCTCAGAGGCAGGAGCCCTCTTTATTTATTTATTTTGTACTCAGTTATGTGCAAATCAGACTGATGAGGGACTGGGTCTGGTCGAAACAGATAGCACCCCAGTCAATATCTGAGTTCACACTGGAAAAAGGAAGCATCCCATTAACAAGGAATCTTGTTGATGGAATACTGTATGTATTACAGATTAAATAGAGATATTTTTGCACACACACTGCTCCCCAATTTTTATCAATAGTTTTGGAAGAAAGGACTCACAGATACGTTCGGACTTCTGTCCTCCAGTGACATCCATGGTTTGTTCAAGTTGTAGTCAGCAAGTCCTCCTGTGGTGTATAGACACCCTCTGACGCACACCTTAATGACTGACCAGGGTGCTGGGCAAGACTAGAAGGTCCCTGCTGTCATCATTTAAGGAGTTTTCATTATTGGGATGAATGACCCAATAAGGCCAGACTTCCAAATGTTCATTCTGTGTCTCTATGACAAAAAAACCCTGGATTGTAAGCAAGTCAATCCAATGTTCCCTGTTACCTAACCCCCAGATCAGATTGCTCACCGAGTTAATCTGATCAAATGCTCAGCTATAATGAAAGCACCAATCAGCCGAAAGGAAGGAAAAACAGTAGATTTGGTAGCCACATGTAGAACACGGCGGTAGCAGTTGATATATATGTATATAGATACACGCTTTTTTTCTGTGTTGGCAAAGTGAAGAATATTATTTGCAAAAAAAACAAACAAAACGCTGAGAGTCCTGGCTGTTTGCTGTTCAACAGATAACACGGGTGTTTCTGGGACTGCTGCTTGCCCATGCTCTTGCGGATGCTCACCTGTACCTGTGTAGGGGTTTTTGAAAATGATATTCTTTGTGTTGCCAAATCAGTAAACCTCTGTGCAATTCAGTGTTTTCCCTTTATTATTTATGCATCTCTCAAAAGCGTCATGAAGTGGGCGATGCTGAGTAGTGTTTCTCAACTGTTCTGGAATAATTCTGTAGCAGGACACTGTACTCTGACCCTTGACCAGTCATCTCCCGCCTGCCACTTTTTGGTCACAAAGAGGGAGAGAGAAAGGCTGTTAATGGTTCAGTGTGGATGTGTTGTCACCACTCTAAGAAGAAGAATTCAGAGCTTGCCCTGAAGACAGAATCTTTTCTCTGATGGGCCCTCCAGTTAATTCGCAAATCAGAGATGTTTTCAACAAAGCCATATTTACACATAGAGTTTTTAGATTTCTTTTTTTTTCTTCTTTAAGGAAAGGGAGAAAAGACCTCGTCTGGCTTTGTTTGGGCTTTCTGTGTGCCGTTGCCAGCTTCGATCCTCAAATGTGGCTTGGTCTCAGTGTGGAAGCTCATGGGTGCTTGTGGAAAAGGCGTGTTTGAGGGCATGTGGATCATGCCTATGAGAAAACACAGGACTTACGAAACACGTACCCACATGTCAAAGAACCAGTGTCTGACCCTGAGATAATCGTTTTGATTTTTCCCCCTGCATTTAAAAATGTCCCATTGCCTTTCCTCTCACATTTTCCAAGTGACTGGGTGTTAAAATTCAGAGAACCCGCCTCTCCTTCCCACCCCCGCCCCCAGCCTGTGTTCACCGACCTCCTTCACCCCATGAGACTGTTTTCATGCTTTGCTGAAAAACCTTGTTTTCACATGTATCCTTCAAATAATTTGAAACAAAGGTTTTATTCCTTCTTTTCCTTCTGGTGTCAGTCAATTTATTATCAAACTGTTTGATTTTAAATTCTTTTCTTGTCGTTTTGCAGAAGCCGAAAGCGGTATGCACTCTTCGTTAACTTTCCTCCCAACCTCCACCCTCTATCTTCACTTCTAGCCGCAGGACTATTTGTCAAGAATTCAGGAAGCTAGAGATTATATATATATGCGTATATGTATATATAATCTCGTTCCCTTGTCCAGTGTATATATATTTATATCTGTATATTTACATATAAACCCCTGTCCACCTAGGGGACATAAAAATTGAAAGTAGCGTATTGCTTTTCTTGTCTGATTTGTTAATTCTTTTGGATGACGCACTAACTTCTTTGCAGGAAACCTAAAAAAAACACACAACAAAAACAAACCCAAAAGACACAATCCTGTTTTCAGTCATGGCACCAATGCTGGGAACAAATGTTATTTGAGTTGAAAAGGAGGACTCTTCTCTCCAGCCCTCGGTGTCTGTCTCTGTCCCGTCCTGATGTGTCTTGGTGTCCACCAGGCTCTGGTCCATTCGTCTGCATCCCACATCCACATTCCCAGTGAGCCTCCCCATGTCCACTTTCCAGGTTGTAGACCAGAATTTGTGTCCTTTTAGCCACAAAACAGAGACAAGCCCTTACACGCACCTCTTTCCCCCCGGCTTACTGAGGACCACATTGTGCATATGTGCGTCTCGGGCGGCGCTCCCCGCAGGCCCCGACGCCGCTGCTGAGTTGCCAGATTCCCCCATTTGACCTGCTGAACGAGTGCTGTCTATTGAGATGAACTCGGGCTTTCTGTCCTTCCCAGTGTGTTTGGGCCGATTTCTCAATATGAAGTATCTCGATGTTCACCACGCGACCTCACCTGTCCTGCTGCTGTTTTATGTTGCACGAAGCATGACCGAACCCTCATTGAGAGCTTTTCTTTTTTTAACTTTTTGGGTTAATATTTCCAGTGTAGGTTTTCAGTGTGTTTTCTCTCTAAGAAGTGTTGTTGGAAACATACTGTTGAGATGCCTACTTGCTCACCTTCTCAAGAGTTGTTTTTCTCTGTGGTTGTAATCGCTGTCACACGTTTGTGTTCGTAATTGTGCGTGTGTGTGTGTGTGTGTGTGTGTGCGTGTGTGTGTGTATTTGTCTGGAACTCTTTCCAAAGTCAGATTCGTCTGTGGCGTTTCGAGTAGATGTGTGGAAGTAGAGGTGGCTTCCTGTCAGTTTGGTATTATTGATATGATCCAACTGCGAGAAGTTACTGCAACACTTTGCATCGCCAAAGGTCCACAGTGGCTGCACCTGTGCTGTTGGCTTTTGGCCTTTGAGTCCTTTTATTGTGTGGTGAAGGCATGTTGTGATGAAGGCATGACATATCCTAAAGTGTACCAGAAAGTGACTTGGCTTGTTCCCAGAACCAAATACCCCGCATTGTCTTTTCCAAATGAATGATATTTTCTCTGCCCCATATGGCCACTGTTTTCCTTATGTGCAAAATCTATTTGAAAATGCCATTTCTAAAGTTATTGAGATGGAATCAGGATAAACATGTATTTGGTGGACCACAGTGGCAGTCACTTGAGTCTGACCGACTGGGAGCAATCTTTATTATGGTCTCTGTGTAAGTGACCTAGGCTCAAGTATGCTGACGCATGGAATACACGCTGCGGAAAGTGTGTGTGTCTAGTTGTGTGGGACTCCAGCAGCATTTGTTTTAATGCCCAGAAGAAATGGAAAGTTCCAGAAAGGCAGTAAGAGTTGAGATTTGGGGTTTCTGCAGGCTGTGCCTTAACACAGCCTCTACATTCCTGGGCGGCTGTACTCCCTGAGATGGGAGCCAATTGGTTCAAACAAACTCCCACCCAATAGCAATCGCATATGACCCTGTGTGGTCAAAGAGGCCACTTTCAGTGGCATCAGTGGCATGATTCCTCTGGGCACAGCATGAACTGAAGTCCTAGATGGTTCTTCTCTTATTCTAGGTGATGAAGTCCCATTAGCTTTCTAGACACAGATATAATTACCATGTTATCAAATACAAACTGTGTCCTCATGAAAGTGATATTTTTGTAATTGCTCAGGGAATGGTACATTACACCTACCAGAAATTGAGTGGGGAGGAAAGAGATGTACACCTGTCATATTTATCCATAATGGATAAAAGTTTCCTTTAAGAAGTATCTATTTCAGTTGAATTACTAATCACTGGTTGTCTCTAAAAGCACCAAACAAGTAAAATTTATGATAATTGGAGAAGAAATAACTAGATGTTTCCAGTTATGCATAAGTGGTGGAGAAAGGGAATATATCATCTTGCCCTATCAAGCCCCAAATCTATACCCTGACCAAAGTTCAGCAAGAGATACACTATGAGATGCATTGCAGCCTGAGACCTGGAGTTCCCTCCCCTTCTGGGGGCTCCTGGCAGGGACGTTTCCTTGTGGACTGAGCCCTGCTAGCCAGTGTCACATGAACATGTCTTATGTTTGGGGACACGTATTTCAGTTCTAAGTGAATGGTATTTTCAGTATTGAAATCAGGTGCTTCAACTCCCCACATGGCTGGCTGTTTACATATTTGTATATTTACACATTTATACTTAATGTCTCTGGGCTTTTGTTAGCTCATTTGCCACCCCTAGAAGAGGTGTGGTCGCTCCTCCGACAGGCCTGACTGATGAGAACTGCAGCTTGGTCTTTGAAAGAAGAGCTGTGACTCCCTTTCTCCTTAGTAGAGAGGGAAAGGAACACTTTTGGAACTGAGACCAATGACTTTTATGTTTTTCACTCATTCAACAAATGGTTGAAAGCGCCTGTTCCATGCAGGGCTGTGAGCTGGCTACTCTGAGAAGCATTTTATAAAAGTAAATAAAATATGATCTTGCTTTTCACTCCTTTATGCAACCATGAGTTTGCAACAAAAGATATATATTTTCCCCATATTTGCTTCGGTGAGGAGCCGAAGAATACGTCTAGATACAAAACTAGTCCGAGAGCAAAAGAAAAAGAGAGACCAGGGACCCTTGGGGAAGGGACCACACCAGCCCTTTGCCTCCAGCTCTCACGGAGTCTTTTCAGTTGAAATTAACAAGTCAGAGAAGAAAGAAGATAATTTACAAGTTCATTGAAATGAGGGCAAGTCCACCCCCTGCCAAGAAGATGTCCTTGTAGGAATTCTGCTAATTGATATACGGACTTTTTTCTTAGAGATTTTCCTGATTCTTCACATGACACATCTTGAAGTTTATCTCTATCTGATAAGCTAGTGAATTGGACAAAATTGGAGCCAGGGACTGATTTAAAGTGACGCCTGGGGAGGGAGACTTTTGGCAGTCATAAGAACAAACTTAACATTGAATATTTTAAGAGATCAAAGATCTTTGGAAAGATTTACATATTCCTGTTAGGAGGTCAGTAACATATTCAAAAGATTGTAGACACTTGCAGGAACAAAAATGTCACTTCTGTCTAGGACCCTTATCTTCTTATATTTTCAAAAAGGCGAAGATCAGTACATTAAACTTGCTAGATTTGGAATGTGTATAGGAGACTTAACTTCTAAAATATCAAGAAGAGTGGTATATTTCCTCAAAGAGTCTGAACCTCGGTGCCCTTACACAGGGTGTACCGTATGCAGTGGTCCCTGGGATCAGGCTCATGTGCGTCTCTTAAAACCCTTAAATATATGGGTGGAATACAGCCCAGTGAGCACCTTTATGTATCTAGATGTCTTTCCTTCATTACCTCAAGAGCTGGGCTCATTTTTTCAGCCTCATGTACCCCGTAGAGGCGATTTCAAGCCTCCCAGCCCTGTCCAGAAGAGAACAGCGGACATTCTGGAATCACATGGTTAGTGATATCCTTGGAGGCCCTTCCAGTGCCTTACACAGTCAGCCATGAAGTCTAAGGAACAGAGAGCTACTCTACAGTGTAGCCAGGAGCCAGTCCAGTGAGTCCATCTGCAGATACTATGCAGGAATAAAATTTTTCAGATACTGTGCTCAGTAAAAAGCTCTCAGTGCCTATAGGGTGCCTCCTGGGTAGTTCCTTAGCGCCGAGGACAACATGGGGAGCTGTGATGCTGTGAGAGATTGTCTGTTTCTCAGGTAGTTATAATTACCTTGCTTGCTATTAACAGTGACCCTGTATTAAGGATCTACTAGGTAGCAATCACTCAGCACATAGTATGTACTTTCATTCTCTTAGCAACACTGTAAGCTAGTGAGTCTTCATCCCACTTTACAGACTAGGAGAGTGAGGCTTAGCGGCATCCACATGCTCAAGGCCAGGACCTGAGGCCATGGGCCCGACATATGCACCCGCTGCTTACCCACAGCAGCAGCAACACTGAGATCTGTGCCAGAATCTCTCCTCTCCACCCTTAAACTTGACTAAGGCAAGCTGAGAGCTGTAATAAAGGATCTCAGCCTGGAGTCTCTGGGGTGAGGATCCCAAATTCTTCCTGTTCTTCAGTGTTGATAGAGAACAGAGGCAACGAAAGAGACTTTCCATTGATGGGAACCTCGCTGTCACTGCCACGGCACCGTGGGGCCGATCACTGGGGTGCAGTTACTGCAGCACATGATGTGAAAAAGGGAAAAAGCAGGTTCCGTGTGAGGCTTGTTTTGTGCATATATGTCACCCAGACATTGATGTGTGACAGATTCCCCTTTTTGAAAATTGTGCTGCTGAAATCATGGTAGTATTTTTTTTCTTTTTTTCCATTCAGGAGGCTTTTTACTCTTTTAAATGAACACATGTCAACAGGTAGAATTTTCCAATTTTAAGGAATTAGCTCCTTTAGACCCCTTTGTCCATTACAGTTCTCCAGCCTGTAACTTCACCTCACTACAAGCAGGATGTTTTATAAGAAGCCCTGTGTTCTAATTCATGGGGCCAGCTAAGGAAATTCGGATAATTCTCCTGAGAATCAAATACCCTTTTGGCCTTTTTTGCAATAATAATGAAAGGGTTCAGTAGCCAAAAGACATCCAGCCTTCTGTCCATTATCTCCCCTCATCTTCTGAAGAAAAGGTTATCACCATCCCCATCTTGTGGGTGAGGGGGTTGAGTTGAAGAGGTTCAGTAACTTGCCCGAAGTCAGGAAGTCAGACAGCTCCTGAACGGATGAATTTGGATGAATTTCTGATTGCAGAGCCAGGGCATACAAGAACTGCCTTGCAAAATCCAGGACTTTTAAGAGCGTATGCAAAATCCAGAATGCCTTCCTTCGAAAACATTGCATTTAGTTGGCTTTGAAAAGGAATCTGGCTGACCTATATAAGCACGGTCCCCCTTTTCCTCATGATCATGAAAAGCCAGAGGGCTGTGTGAAGAGCTGGTGGCGGTGCTGAGCCGGTGCCCCTCCAGCTCTGCCCTTTGCAAGCCGTGCTGTGAGCGGGCCCGCTGCCGCCTGGCTTGTGAGGGATCTCACTGTCGTCTGTGCTTCTAGGGCAGAGCAGTCAGCTCTTCGTGGACTCTTGCTATTACTCAGCGTTAACAATAGCAATGACACAGGACTGGTTTCCTTCTGTCAGGTCTTGTTACCGGTAATAGTGGGTGTTCTTGTGACCAAAAGCAGTTACTTTGCAATAATGATCTACTCCAGCCTCCCAGCAACAAAAGTTCACCTGGGTCCCTCCTGTATTGCTACAGACACATTGAGCACATTTCTGGAATGGTTTTACCAGCAGAAAAGGATTACATGTTAATTGCCATCCTGCATTTTGATTGTTTTGGGCAGTTAAGGACTTCCTTTAGCCTGATTCCAAACATCTATTACACAAAACACCTGATTTTTGGATCAAAGACTCCCCCCGCCTTGTTGTATCTGTTGCTGAATTTAGAGTCCCTGAATTCCATATCCATTCAGCCCAAAGCCTCATCTCAGTCTCTGTGTATGCTGTTGCTGGATTCTGCTTTTGATCTGCAGAAAATTAAACTTGTTTGTTTCATCCATTTATTAGATTAGGCTACATTTATCTCCTCTGTCAGTCCAAACACAACTTGGTCAGCTAATCTGTTTATACCACTTTGAATAGGACTCTGTAAATTTAGGCTCATACTTCCCAGCAGGGGAAGTTTTTTGCGTGGTAATTTGCATTTGTTTTCTAATTAGTTTGCCCCAATCAGGATGTGCTAGACGGTGTACCTTATTCAAAGATGCCCTTACGTTTTTGTAAACAGCAGGCTGGAATCATTAAGTATTTCCAATTGCTGGCATTTCCCTTTTTCACTGTTCTGGTAGACCCAGTTCTTCACAGACTGCACATGGAATCTGCTTCCATGTCCCTATCATGTCATGCAGATGTTCTGTTTGCTTCTGCATTGGTATGGGTGTCTTGTACCATTCCCTGCAGCGGTATGTGGTGTGTATACATGTATGTTTCTGTATGCATATAGGGGTCCCATTAATGCTCTGTCACCTAATGGAAAATTGGTGTAGTGATAGCTTTGTTAGACTACCAGCACTCAATGTTTACCATCAACAGCATTTTCCAAAGGGGTATATTATTGGGAATGTTGCTTCAAATCAGAAGCCCATGATGGCAATTCCATTATAAAAACCTGGCCGTAAAACCGAGATTTGCTTTGATTTCTGCAACTGGGAGTATGCCACCCTTGGAACTGAGCAACCAAGCTTTATGATGGCATCATCCAATTAAATGTGTGGGACAGTGGACCTCAAGTTCTAGATGAGATCTTTGGGGAAAGCATTAGACTAGTGGGCCCCCTATACAATTAAGAGTATAGTGTAACCTTCCAGGTTTTACTTGGAACACAACCTCACAAATGTGTTTTCTTTGTTTGTTTTTCTTCACTGAGCAGTATATTAATTAATCCCGGAAACCATCTTAAGATCCAAGAAGGTACTTTAGGATTTTTCATCGCAAGTGATGCCAAAGAAGTTAAAAGGTAAGAGTTTATTTTCACCTGCCTTCCTTTCTGTTCCAGCCACAGACATCTCGAGCCACTGAGGAGGCTTGCTTTCGTGTGTGTAGGGCCCAGACCCCCAAACTTCTTAACAGGTCTTTGGGTGTCAAATGGGGCCAGATCTTAGGAAAAGAGATTGCGCTCTCAGATATTTCCATGGGCTCCTCTTCACACAATCAATTCCACATCTTTGAATTAAGAAAAATGACATTTCAGAGCCAGGCGGGCTCTGAAGTAGCTCCTCCTTCATTTCCCAAGGAAGGAAACAGAGTTGCAGAGAGCTGAATTGATTGTTCAAGGCCCCCTGACGCTTGATGACCCAGAACAACATAGCTTAGGAGAGCTGACACCTCGCCACCGCTCTTTACTTAGCATTATTAACTCAAGCAGATTTGCTTGAGAATTATCAGTTTTTCACTTTAAGTGTCAAATGAAATCTCAAAAGGTTTGCATTAATTTCAGATGAAATATTGCGCTGGCTCTACATTTTTTTGGTATGTGGCCTTCTGGGTAAGTGGCTGGAGTTGTCAGGTTAATTCTTAAGCCTCTGTAGGTATATAGCCTAGGATCGCATTGGCCTCAACATTCTGTGACACCTTTATTATTATCATTCTTAAACTTGTTGGAGCAGCCTAGGAAATCAGAGGGCTCTTGGCAGAACACCAGCGACAATTGTTCTGTTTGATTCTATCTTATGGACTAGGAAAAACTGACTAGCAGAAAATGGGACTCAAATCGCGAGACACGTCACTCAGCTTAACAATGACATTACCTAAAATATTCATCATGAATATCTGTAATTTATTTAAACCTATTGTCTTAACTTAATGAGTTCCTACTCAAATCCAGGCCTGTGCTGGGGCTTCTACATTCTTTACCGCTGCTCCTCAAAATGACCTGATAAGTCTTCTAAGACACTTAGGCTTTGGCTTCCTCCTCTGTGAAATTCACATAAATGACTTGTCTAGGCCACGCGGCACAGGAGCAAGTGGCAGGGCCTGGTTAGGAACTTGTCTCTCCTTTTCCAAAACCCACAGTTTCTACCAGATGTAATAATACCAGCAAGTTCTTAGGCAGAGTTTAATATGTGGCAGCCCTGTTCTAAGTACCAGGTACCAGGTATCGATGAACTCATTTAACACTCTCAACCACCTCAGGAGATAGGTAGCATTAGTATTCCTGTTTTACATATGAGGAAACTGAGGCACAGGTTGGTTAACTAACTTGCCCAAGGCCACAGTGCAGGTTTAAAGCCAGGATTTAAAACCAGGAAGTCTTACATCCTTAATGATTTGCCAAGAGGTGAGCCTGACATGCTGAGCACAGAACTATGATATTTGACAGCCAATGCTTATTACTAGCCATCCCAGTCATACAGCTTTCAGTGTAAAAAAAAAAAAAGGGGAAGGAAAAAAAAATCTTTAATACTGAGCTATCTAATGACTTAAATTTACTTCTGCAAAATTACCATTACTCAGGTGTGGGAGAGGAAAACCTCTTTATCCAGGTGATGGGTCCTCATGTTCTCTAGGAGTACACTGAGAAGCGGGTTCACCTAGGAGAGGAAAGTTGGGGCGGGGGCAGGGGCCGAACACCCCCTCCCAGGTCCCCTGGAAGAGAAGGTTGTGCTCATGGCCAGACTGAGACACAAAAGCTGGAAGCGGCATCTCAGCACCTCGGGCAGGGGGCTGGGAAGCACAGCGGCGCCATAGATCACGCACACCTCCCGCATAGCAAGTATAACATGAAGCTCCCATTTGTGTAATTCTATTTCCTATTGCATCCCTCACTAATGAATGTCACAAATACCAGGCCGTCCAAAAAACAAATTACCTCCTATATTAGGGAGTGCAGCGTGCCTCATTTCAGTGCTTTATGGTATTCGCAAATACATGCTGACACAACCAGCCGCGCAGGCCTGTAATTTTCCGTGCTGTGTGATGTGTCAGAGCAAATGCTGTCAGTTAGGGGATTTCAGATAGATGGAGGCTGCAGAAAACCACAGACAGGGCGTTGGAGATTTGAATGAAGCTAAACAAGTTTTGTAAAAATGGAAAAGTAGATTATGATGCTCTCGTATTGAGTCTGCACCCTGTGCTGCAAGAAAGCAACGAAAGAAGTTAATGGATTCGGGCTCGTAGAAACTTTCAGGTGCCGTGTTTTAGAGAGAGAGAAAAAAGAGGAGTGAAATCATCCAATTCCAGTCTTAACAAAGTCACGTTGGGAGAAGCCTTCGGGCCCTTGTCTTTTGCTCCCGGCCACTAAACGTTTTGCTTTTTAAATAATCTGCACATAGTATCTAATGTAGGAGTCACACAATGGTGCCTCCTTGACTCCGATTGGCTTGCAGACGTGATTCATTTGAGTCATAATTTTTAAAAAAGTTACCAAGATGAAGAAACCTTAATTCTTTATATAAAAATCCCTGTTACTGATTTCTCCTGAAGACCTTGCAGATCCAGCATTACCGGGCAACATTCATTCATCAGCCGTCTGCAGGTCACTCACTCTCCAGGACACTGTACTAGGTGCCGGGGAAACAGTGGTGAGCAGTGGACAGAAGTCCCTGCTCTCGTGGGCTCAGGATCTAGGGAAGAGAGCATCGCAGCTGCGTTTATTCAGGGTGCGAACATTAATGCGGCCAGCTCGCTGATTCAGAGAGGGTCGGAGGGAAGGTGGGTCAGAGGGAGTGGTGCTAGAGCAGAGATAGAGGTGATGGGGAGGAATCCTTCACTCAGAGATCTGAAGGGAAGAGGAGACATGATGGGAACGTTTGTTGTGTTCAGTGAACCTGAGGAGAAAGAGTGTGTGGGGGGAGTGGAGTGGTGACCTGAGGTTAGGAGTTGAAGGGCTAGTTCCCAAAGGACTTAACACACAGGTTGGGTTTGTTATCAGAGGGAGTGCTGGGTGGTTTTGGCTGGTGGTGACGTAGTCTGGTTTGTATTAAAAGGCCTTTCCACCTGCCCTGTGGAGAATCAGGCGCAGTGGAGCAGGAGGGGAGGCCAGGAGACTCCGAGGCTCCTGCGAGGGTTAGGTGAGGTGACGGCTTGTGCTCGGCTGGGCAGCGGAGGTGCTGAGACCTAAGACCAGTTCGGAACATATTAGGGAGAGTCTGCAGGATCCGCTGATGAACTGGACCCAAGACGTGAAGGAAAGAAGGGGAATCGGGAATGGAGCCTAGATTTGAGCCTTACGCAGTTGGGTAGATCAGGGCGCCATCCTGTTTTCATGGGAATAATGGGGGGAGGAGGCAGTGTGGGGTGGAAGGAATTTAAGGATCCTAATTGGGCTGTGTTAAGGAAGTTGTGTGGAGATGTCATAAAGGCAGTTGGACCTACGAGATGTAAATTGGGGTGCTGTATCAGTGAGGGTCCTGGCAGGGAACGGGTGACATACTTAAATGGGAAAAAAGGAGGAGAGTTCTGTGAAGAGAATCTATAAAGTTGTGGGCAGGGTTACGGAAAACCAACCAGGGCAAAGCACCCAGAGATGGCAACAGAGGGGAGCCCCGTTCAGCCCTAGAGTCATGGGGAAAGAGGACTGCTGGAACCGGACAGAAAGGCTACACTGTGGGAAAGGCTGCCTCCCAAGAGCTGTGTAGAGAAATGTCGCTTCTACCATTTCATGGGATGGCTCATCTCTTTGCATCCTTTGGTCTCCTGCTGGCTCCCCCAGTTAGACACAATGAGAAACCAGAGGACAGGGAGACTCTAGAGGCCAGCCTTGCAGGATGCAGATCTGGTCTTGATGATGCATGTGGCAAGGTCACCAGCTGAAGGCTACTTGAGGAAGGGCTGGGTGAGTGGGAGAGGAAGAGGAGAGGGTTGAGGTGGGAGGAGGCAGGGCATAGATCCTGAGTGTAAGAAGGCCCCTGGAATCCACCACTGTAGATGTAAAGGGAGCCAGTCAGCACCGTTGTGTTTCCTTTCCCCAGCAACACGCAGCTGCTCAGCTGCAAGTATGCAGTACAGTGGGGGTTGGCCAGGTGAGCATGAGAGAGGTAGAGATGGGTGGGGAGTAGAATGGTGTTGACAGAGAAGCGCTACTTTGCAAAAATCAGCTGGAGCTTGGGTACTCTGCCTTCTCCAGTTGGGGGATGTGTCTCCAGGTCACCACAGACCCACACCCTCACCCCATTTCACTTGCTAACTTTACCTGGCTGGCCCCTGTGGGTATTTTGCTTTCAGAATCTGGCTTTAATTCATGGAGTAATTATACTTTATCTTTTTAACGGCCTATTCAGGCTCATCACCTCATCATCTCTTTAGTAGAGATGTATTTAAGACCTTGGGCACTGGGATTAGACTGTGGATTTGAATCCTGGTTCTACCACTCAGCTGTGTGATCTTGGGCAGGTTGCTTAACCTCTCTGTTCTTCAGGTTTCTTACCTGTGAAACAGAGGTAATAATCATGCCTCCTTCAAAGGATTGACTGAGGATAAAGGGTGTTATACGTATTAAATGCTTAGAATGGTGCCTGGCTTATAATCTGTGCTCTATTAATGTTAACTATTATTATTTATATGTGTAGGAACATCAAATGGGGGTAAAAATAGGCAAATGAAATGGAAGCAAAATTGCCTCCTCCTTTCCAGGCAGGTCATGACTGACTGGGTTCTTAGCCACATTGCCACTGAGGCTAAACAGTGAGCCACCTTGTAATTTTTTTGTAAAATAGATGAAAACTGGCCTTTGAAAAAATAGTGGATGAGCTGTTAGGGTGGAAGGAGCATGGAGCTTGAACCTAGAAGGGCTGGGGCTGTCCAGGTTCCAGCAAGGATGACTTAAGGCAGGTTGCCACAACCCCCTCCATTTACAGATGAGGACTTTGAGAACCAGGGATTTTGGCTACAAGATCTCAGATCTCTTCCAGATCAAAAGTCTTAACAGTGGCTTCCCAAAATGCCAGTCCTGTGAAAAACATAAAAAGGAACCTAGGAATAAAGTGGTCAAGAACTGTGTTTATTTCTTTAGAGCCCTGGTCAAGGCCAGACCTTGTTTATCCCTGGCATTCATCTTGGTGTTGGGAGTGGTAAAGGTGCTAAGCCAGGGGTTTTTGTTAGTCCCTGTACTCAGAAGGTTGTGAAGTTGTTCCAATGAATTTTATCACCTCCCCGGGACTGAGAGGACACGGGCCTCCGGTGCTGCTTTTCTAGGCCCTGAGCTTTTAAATAGTGCTTGAATTGATTTTGCCACATCCAGAGTATCTTGGACATGGCCAATGCACTTTGTCATCACATAGTGCCACTTAAGTCCTATGAGGGGCTTTTCCTGTTGCTTTCTCTGGGTCTCCTTCTACTCACCCCAATCCTGTGATACACCTTCTGCCCATCCCATTCCTGTGGTCAGCTGAGCTGGGCTCCATAGTGAGAAGAAAACCTTCATTATTACATGATCCCGAGGCTGGAGAACAGGAGTTGGTCCAGCCAACTTTACAGTAAATATGGGCGATGAAATCCCAGGAGGAAATTGACAGGGGAACCCCTCGATTCCTCACTCTGGCTTGTCCCTTTCTAATCTCCTGAAATGAAAGGATGCTTTCAGAGTGACAGGGCAGATATTTTCATTTGACTGAGGAATGCCATCCTTGTGCCCGTTTAATACATAGTTAACCAGACGGAGGATTTCGGAGATGTGTTAACCTCCCCACCGAGGGAGGGCCCGGGGCTGCTTGCCCATGTGCTTGGAGAGCACTGAAGGCTGCTCTCAAAAATGAGAGACGGGCGAGCAGACGCAGCGTGTCACCTCGGCAACCTTTCCCCCGGTTCCTTTTCAAATGAAAGTTTATTAAAAGAAGCACTAACTCAAATCGCAGAGACCTGTGTTTGAAATAAATGGTCTTTGCAACAAACATTTCCGTCTGTAAACGTCTAAACCTTTCAAAAGATTAAAGGAAATTAGTGCTGGCGTGTTTCATTAATTTGGCACCGCAGTGGAGGAAATGTGGGACTCATTTCATTTGGGTGGATTATGAGACGTGTCAGTTTTTCCATTCTCTTTCTCCAGGGCATTTTTTTACTGCAAGGCCTGTCATGATGACATCACAGATCCCAAAAGGATAAAAAAATGCGGCTGCAAACGGCGTAAGTAGCGTTTCTTTCCCCCGCCCCTCCCTCGCTCCTTCCTTCCCCTGCATTCATTTCCCTTCTCCTTTTCCTGTTAAAGAAACACTAAACATCAAGAGTTTTCTTGAACATGTTTATGTTTCACCCAGCAGTTTAAAGAGACATGAAATAAATACCTGTCCTCACGTTATTAGAGCAGAGGTTGAAAACTCACCACCTCCAGCACCTCGCAGTACACCTAGTGCCAGTCCCACTCCTTGGCTCTGAGGGGATGCCTAGGTGGAGGTGTCCGGTGGGACGCAGTGAGTACCGCGTACGGAGAGGACAGCGGGGCCGAGGAGGGCGCGTTTCTGTGTCGTGATTCCCAGTGGATGTGGGAATGCCACGGGTACCGACCGCTGGACTGGGGCGGAGAGGGAAACTGAGCGTGAGGACTCGGTCTCCCAAGTGGGAGCTGACTCTCTTTCCATTGGGATTGCTGCAGGTTTTGGTACCAAAGGCCAGAGCTTTCAACTCTGATACCTTCAGACTGGCCCAAGAAAAGAACTTGGCCATCGCCAACGGACTGTGTCATTACCCCAGTGACCAACCTCAGACACCACCGCTCTTCGGGGTAGACGAGACTGGGCTCGGTCATTAATGGCATAGCCTATCTCAGACCCCTCCCAAAGCAGCTTGCCAAGGGGGCCTCTGGAGAAAGATGGGAAGTCAGGGAGGTTGGATCGTGAGTGCCTGAGAAACCAGGACTTGGAGTGGACTTTGCCTCACGGTGGCCCTTTTGCAGTCATGTTGCATTGCCTAACAAAGGTCGTTCACAACCCTAGAGAGAAGTGTTAATGACGCCTTCCTTCCTATGTTTAGTCTTTTCAAAGCGCCTTAGGATCATTATTTTCTTTGATCTTCACCATAATCCTACGTAATTGGCAGGGGGTGTCATTAATCTCGTTTTACAAAAAGAAATTAAGGCCTCAAGTTCAGTGACAGGATGAGGTTGCTGAGAGCTGCGGAGACCCAGCAGATAGGTTTGGGCTTGACGGAGGCCTCTCGATGCTGTGCCCTAACCTTCCTTCAGGAGAAAGGGCAAAGTGGGTGATGACCTTGGGCCTGGGGAGTAGGAACGCAGATATAAAGGATCATTCCATAAAGTACTTTTTCACCAGCAGGAACCAAACAGATGAGTGCCATTCCTGGGACACAGCTACCAACCAAGGGCTTTATTCACCCCACCCCTAAAGGGGGCGCAGTAAATGTAAAACCAGCGAGAGAGCAATGCCTCTGTGCCAGAGCATGGAGAAGGCACGCAGACTCCTTGGCAAATACTCACGTGGAGCACTCTTGGTCTAGAGCAGTTTCTGTAGAAATCACTCAGGCTACTTCCCAAATCTGGGGCAGCTGGGCCCCATGTTTCTGCCCCCTTTCTTCATTGACTTCATACACAGAGCCCCTCCTTTCACCTCTGACAACCCACCGAGATGAGTGTTTATGGAAATCTCAGAACCAGAGCCTCTGGCGCTCATATTCTGACAACCTGTCGGGAAGAGCGTCTCTCCCGGATCATTTCCATCAGAAGCGACACGCCGTCCGAGGTGGAGGCGAGCAAGGCAGAGTAACAAGCGCAGGAGGCTGGGCCCCTTTATAAGGAGCCCCTCACAGCGGTGTGGGGTGGGAAATGCAGCAGAGCCTTGAGGCCAGTAATTCAGAGAACCTGGTCCCACCGGGGCATCAGTGAAACGCACTTATTGACTCCTCATTCCTCGAGTTTGAGTACCTTGTTTGTGCAGGGCACTTTTCTTGGTTCTAGGGATGGAGTGGTGAACAAGAAAGGTCCCTGCCCCCCCGAAGCCTTCACCCTAGTGAGTGATCACAGAACAGTGATCATAGGAACACTTAGGTACATTCAGACAGAGACAAAGGCTGTGAAGAGATTGGAGGCAGCCTGAGAGTGTGAGGAACCCTGCAGAGATGCTGCTTTAGCTAGAAAGAGCTGGAAGGCCTCCCTTGGGTGGTAGCCCTGACCCTGAGACCCAGTCCAGGCAGGCACGAGAGGGCGGCAAAGGCCAGGAGCAGAAATAGGTTTGCAGTGTTTAAGAGAAGGGAGGCTGGCAGTGGAGCTGGTGAGACTGGAGAGAGGGGTACGAGGCGAGATCAGAGAGGAAGGCAGGCGCCACCATAAGGAACTCGGGCTTTAGTCCCATGATAAATAGAGCTGTTTTTATGCAAGGAAATGACATCATTATTTCCTGTGGATCTCCCTGGTGACTGGACAGAGATCAGATTCAGGGAGGCAGGAGGGGAATGGAAGGACGCTGAGAAAGCTGCTGGGACTCCTGCTGAGCCCC